GAATTCTATTTCAAATATTTCTCCATGTCAAAACTATCTGTAGTTAATTCTACGTTAGAAAGTATGTTCAGATGGCAATTTAAAGATAATGTAAATCATATAAATCTTCTTAAAAATGACTGCAATCCAGCATGGTTAAAGTATTTTGGGAAGAAAATGTAGGAGAAAGAAAATGTGGAAGAATTTATGTATGTATTCATATACATAATTATGAGGTTGTGTGTATAATTTTTATTCACTCAACAAAAAGAATAAAATATCTTTTGCAAGGAAATTGATAGATCTGGAAAACAAAATGTTAACTGAAATAAGTCAGCCTAGAAGAGACAAAGGGCAAATGCATTCATTTTACTCAGGCATTGTGATTTTGGAACCAAGTACCTTGAGGGTATGTTTGGAATGGGAGAAAGGGTCAGGATGAGACAGTGTGGGAGGGGGTGAGACACTGATCAAGGTTCTTTGTACTGACTGCCAAGTTGAATGGTGATCAAGATGCATTGTATTCATACATTGACATGTTATTTTGAAATCCCCTTGTATGATTATTTAACGTTAATAAAATTATTTTTGTATCACAAAACCTATTTCGTTTATGAACCTGTAAAAGAAAGCAGTATATTTTTATAAATTTATCTGCCTACCTGATTGTCATCTCCAATAATGTGATGGTGTGTCACAAATTTGTTTTTGAAAATTTATTTGAATTGTTAAGTAAAAATGTGGAGCAGGATCAAGTATTTTTACATTGTGCCCCACCCCCACCCCATGACAGCACAGGATAACAATCACAGTATTGATGTAACACACAGATACGAAATTTAAGCAAAATAAATAAGCAACCTTAACCTCAGGTGACATACAACTTGAATCCATGCATCAATGAGCTTGGAGTGTCTATGCTGAGAGGCATAGAACTGCCCAGACTGTGGGAATGGGCCCATTGGTTCAAGGAATCTTCAGTTGCTGGGCCTAATCGTTGCTGTCTTACCTGGAATATTTGGCTACCAGTCTTTTCGTGGAGCAAAGTCACAATTGACTATAATACATAGAAAATCATGCCACAAGTTTCTGTTTGCTTAGCAATGTGTTATCTTATAACTCAGAACAAGTCACATGACCACACACAAAATACAGGGGGGAAAAGAGTTGCCAACCACTTACCAAACTGTTCATTTACAAATCAGGTGTAATGAAGACACATTGATGAGAATATTTACTTCTCAATATAACATCGATGTAAAATAAAGGTTATTCTCTAAGATAAAAATAAATATAGTAATATAGTCTTACAATATCGTTTATATATACAGTTCATATATTGTGCTAATATGCTAATATATGGTTTTAAATTACAGTTATATATTTTGACAAGATAGGCAAAATAAATTCAATATTAATACAATTAATAGTGATATCTATCCCTGAACTCTAGCATTCAGCAGATTATATATATATTTTATAAATTATATGTATAAAATATATTATAACATATATAACATATACAATGTGTTTTATACATGTATAATATATGCATATATTATACATCATGCATATATATTATGTATAAAAGAAATGCATATATATATTATACCTAATATATGTATATCAATAGATATAGATACAGACATATCTATATGATGATATATTTATAGATCTATATCTAGATATAACTGTATATCTAGATATATAGATATAGATCAATTTATACATCTATATATACATACTTAGATAGTTGTGTGTATATAATATATATATTTTCAGTTGATGAGCCTGAACTCAGAACCTTGGTCTTGTCCCTGAGCATCCATACTCTAGGATAGAATTCTAGCACTTTGAAAGATAGTACTATTTTTAGTTTTCTGGTAGTTAATTGGAGATAAGAATCTCTTGGCTTTCCTGCCTGGGCCAGCTTTGAACCTCAGTCCTCAGAACTCAGCCTCCTGAGTATCTAGGATTACAGGCTTGAACCACAGGCACTCACCTCTATGGAGACTATTTTAATAGCTCACTTTTCCTTTTGGACAATTACATCTCCCTGTAAAGAAATACACATTCATAATTTGGGTTAATGAGCAGAGTTGATCATCCAACCGCTCCAGGGCTTTAGGGAAGTTCTGCAAAACTAAGCTGTCTCCTGGGACTCTGGTATATCTAATTGTTCAAAACCATTGTTCAGTGATACTCCCTGGATAACTCATCCCCAGAGGTTATGATGATATATATGTATGACTAGGCTTCATACCAGTATTTCATTTTCTTTTCTTTTTGTATGAAATGTTTTGACTAGTTTGTTTGAATTGCATCATCAGGCCGAAAACGTGTATCATATGAAATAGTTACCCAAGTCTACTGTGGACTCCACTGGTTCAGAGATATTTCTTTTACTTATACAATAAGCAGGGTAGTTTTGGAGTTTACTAATCAATAGATGCCTCACTCAGCTGCCTCTGTATTTTGGTGAGTTGACACTGTGTTTCTGTTATTTTTATTCTAACAGAAAAAATATTATAACCTAGTGATCAAGGAGCCAAGTGTATTTCCCAACAGCATCCAAATATAATCAATTTTACCAAGGAACTTGGGTTGTTCAATTCTGAATCCATTCAAGTTTTTCAATTTATATTCACCATGTGTCATCAACAAAATGAAAGCTATAGCTGATAGGGAAATAAAAATTATTATCTTTAAATTTCTTATAACCTCTGAGTAGGTGAGGGGTACAAGTATGTTTGTAAAAGTTAGAATGAATTTTTTTGTAATTGTGGTTAAAAATTTAATGTTTGCCTCTACAAATCGAGGTAACAAGGAAATTCACCATAGAATTTGTAAGACTAAAGAATTATAATCATGAGGTTGGGATGTGACAGCAAATTTGCACATAGGAAATTGGGCCCTAGATAAAGAAATGCATCCTCACTACAGAAAAGTTGTTACTGTATCAACACTCAACATCTATATTTAGACAGTTGTCCCAAAGAGACTGAAAGAGAAGATTACATTAAATAAATATAAGGAAATTCTTAAAGTTGCAAATATCACATTAAAATATTATAAACAATCATTTTCACAATGATACCTGGAATACTAACTTAAATTTTTTGTGTTTCTTTTAAGGTAGTCTTCCTGTGTCACCCAGACTGCAAGGACTCTCCATCTTTATATAGCTCTTCCAATTACTAGAAGCACGCAGGAAGCAATCTCAGCTTAGAATAATTTACAGAAGTAGGAATGTATCTAGGAAACTGACATGCTGCTTTCCCCTATGTTTGCCATGTTTGGTTCCCTACCCCAGAGTATCTAAGGTTGTATTTTCCCTGTCTCTTCTTCAGCTTTGTTACTATGGTTAGTTTGATGCTTGAGAGTCAGTTGTTTCAATTGGTATTTCCTTTATGTGTAAGAATGCCAAATATTTCTAGGCACTTTTATAACCACAGAACCTGCTCATCTTTAAATAATTATAATCCCACATATTAATCAGTAAAAGGCTATGGGTTCTATCCTTTAAGTATATACTAATAAGTGTGTTCTAATAAGTTCAACTTAATACCGTAAGCAAATTTATTTTAATACAAAGTAATGACTCAGAGCATGTGAATGTGTTCTGGGTTCCTGTTTGAAATGGTTCTTTTATACCTACCTTCAAAAAGCTTTAAACTTGATCCAAAATAACAGAAGACATCCTAAAAATGGTTTAAAATAGGTTGCATTTCTAATATTTTTAGAATTGTGATAGTTTTTCACTTATAAATCTGCTGAAACTATGCCTCATGTAAACTGTAAAGATGCTCACTCATTATTATTTTATTATTCATTATTACTTGTTTTATCACTGCAGAGACAGTTACGTTGTAACCATATTTTTATGAGTAGTATAATTTTCCACTATGTTCTGTGACTTATTTCTACAGTACTCATTACATCAAGGGTAATATCTCATGAATATCATAGTTTGAGAACATTCTGGTCAAAATTTAATCAGTAAATAGCTGGTTGTAATAGCATGTGTCTATCTTTCCAGTTTCAAACAAAACATAAATAGGAGAATCATGGTCCAGGCCACTTCAAATAAAAAGCAAGGTTCCATTTGGACAAAAACACACAAAACAAAACTATACAAATCCAAATAACAGAAAAGGTGTGGGTATAGCTCTAGTTCTGGAGATCTTACATACCAGGACCATTGTCCTGAGTTCAACCCCAGTACCATCAACAAACAAACACAACAACAATAAGCAATAACCGTTTGAAAATTTTAAAGTTAAACATGAATGAAATCATTCAATGTATTACCCATATAACACTTCCAGAATGTGTTCAGCATTAACTTACTAGGAGTTTCAAAAACTCCGAAGAACAAATAAATAGAACCAATTAAGCAATCAGCATTTAAAACAAGTCAACATATATTTTTTGTCAGGTCTAACTAAATGCTATCATAATGTCAGTGAAGAAACTAGGAAATTTAGGTATGTCCTCCCAGTGAATACTTCTTAGTAAATATAGGTTGAAGGAGATATTTACAGTGACTCTTATTATGACCTAGGTTTCCATGGCTGTAGTGAGTCTTATGGTTACCTATCAGAGGTCAAGAATCATGTGATTCTCTCTAGATAGGAATAGTGAGTAAAAGAGCAGAAGTTCTTCAAGAATTTGCCATCATAGCCTGTTGAGCAACAAAGGCATTGTGGTTAGGCCCAGAAATTCATAAATCCAAGGTATGAGTACTAAAGGATTATTGTCCCAGGCTTCGTCTTCTGATTCTGTTCACTTAGGTTAGAGGGTCCCTTGCGGCTCTAGCCACCAATGACCCAGATCTTGGCTGCTTTAATTCTTCAACTCTCAGTAGCAGTGAATCCTGCGATAAGCCGCCAACAGCAATGGGAAGGACCTTGTAGTGTTATTGCTCTCGGATAGGCCTCATATGCTGCCATCTCCAATCCTACAGTGAAAATATCATAGCTCTTAGGCTGAGGGTGTGTGATTTCCAAGACCAATAACACATGGAAGCTGTCTATAAATCTTCTGGTAACCGGAGCCTGCAGTTTCTTGTCTTCCGCTATCCACAGCCTTATTGTCTCCATCATTGCTGCTCCAGAGGTTTCAGCTGTGCCCTGCTCTGGAGTTCTTCCATTGCTTTCTCATTACCACTGCCCTTGTTTCCACTGCCAGCGTGGTGGCTTCTTTTTACCCCTTCCAAGGCTACTATAGTCTTCCTGCTTTTTCTGCCATCATTTCTTTGTGTTTACGTACTCAGCCTACCCTACTGCTGAAAAAGACTAAAAAAGAACACTGGAGAGTAACTTTTGAGTGAACTTAACATTGCAACAACTGATGTCAACAATGAAGGTTTGTTCAAGCTAGCTGACAAAATAATCTGAATTGGCTACTTAAGTAGCCAGCAAGGAATGTGGGCAGGGTATCTGCATTTAGGTGAACTAAGGTAATGCTACATATAGATTAAGGACTGTATTGTCATCCATCATGATCCAGTCCTCCATGTACATGAAGGACCATAGTTGTTCCAATCAAAACTGTTTCCCACACAAACGAAGGACTGTTTTTCCACCATTCCTAGGATTTCTACAGGGCCACTAAGGGAACTGCTACCCCGGCAATCTGAATATAAGCAGTTTCAGGCTCATTTACCATGTATCAACAAGGTCCACATCTACTGCAATTTATTTTAATAGTAATGGTCTGGAGAAAGCCTTCAGGAGCCAGAGTTTCGCTCTTATATCAGACACCTGTGACTACGTGTAGCTTCTTTATGTTGTCCTTGGAATGGGATAAACAATTGTCTGCTGATAGTTATTTGCTTACTTTACTCAGGCCATCAGGAAGGTTCTAAGAGCCATTGAGTAAGAAATAAATTCAAATTTTCCTCAGAACTGTGGCTAATCTGCAAGAGCAAGAGTAAGAGGCTTTTATCACAAATATCTCAGATAATATTAACAGTGATTTGACAGTTTGCAGCAGTGCCCTAACAATAGTTTGATCTCCTCAAGTATCTCCTATTGCATGGATAGGTAGGTTTATTACTTGAGATATAGTACAGTGTATTCTGTACAGTATAGGTTAGTATACTGTGATTTGTTTTGTAAGTTTTAGTTTTCCTCTCAGAAAACTGAAAGAAAACCTTGCCATTCATTTTGTAAAACATACCAACGTCAATTTCATCTACTGACTAATGTAGCCACAAGAGCTGGTTTACTCACTAGCACTCTATCCCTGAGCCCAATGCCCTCTAATTTCTTCCTTTCCCTTATCTATGAATAATACCAGCTTTGATCTCACTATATCAAGTGTTGTATTTTGTCCATAGGATCAAACAAAACCAGACTGTTGGGGTGAGCTTCATCCTCTTGGGCTTCTCAGAATATCCGGACCTCCAAGTACCACTCTTCCTGGTTTTCCTCACCATCTACACCATCACTGTGCTGGGCAACCTGGGCATGATCCTCATCATCAGACTCAATCCCAAGCTCCACACCCCCATGTACTTTTTCCTCAGTCACTTGTCCTTTGTGGATTTCTGCTACTCTTCTGTTGTCACCCCCAAGCTCCTGGAGAACCTGATTGTGGAGGACAGAAGCATCTCCTTTGCAGGCTGTGTCAGCCAGTTCTTCTTTGCATGTATCTGTGTAGTAACAGAGACCTTCATGCTGGCAGCCATGGCTTATGATCGATTTGTGGCTGTTTGCAACCCTCTCCTCTATACAGTTGCCATGTCCCCGAAGTTGTGTTCCTTGTTGGTGGCTGCATCCTACTCTTGGGGTCTGGTGTGTTCCTTCATATTTGTGTATTTTTTATTGACATTGTACTTCTGTGGGACAAAGTTTATAAACAACTTTGTGTGTGAGCATTCTGCCATTGCTGCTGTGTCCTGCTCTGACCCCTCCCTTAGTCACATGATCCTTTTGTCCTTTGCCACATTCAATGAAATCAGCAGTCTGGTGATCATTTTCACCTCCTATGTGTTCATTTTCGTCACGGTGATGAGAATGCCCTCCACCGGGGGGCGCTACAAAGCATTCTCCACATGTGCTTCCCACCTCACCGCCATTGCCATTTTCCATGGCACAATTCTTTTCCTCTACTGTGTTCCTACCACCAAAAGCTCATGGCTGATGGTCAAGATCGCCTCTGTCTTTTACACCGTGGTCATCCCCATGCTGAATCCACTGATTTACAGTCTCAGGAACAAAGATGTGAAGGAGACAGTCAGGAAGCTCATCACTGCCCAATTAAGAGGTTATACAAGTTGATCCAAAAATTTTTAATAAGTTTTTTATTGTGAAAATACTACACAGAGGGGTTACAATCACATGAGCAAGGTAATGAGTACATTTCTTATCAAGCATTGTTGCCTCCTCCTTTGTTTCCCCTTCCCATCCCTGACCTCCCCTCTCCACGACTCCCCCCCCCCCAACCCCTGCCAAAGTTATAAAGTTCGTTTTTCGACATGACTTGTACATCTCATTGTTCCAATGGGTCCACTTGTATCCCTATTTAAACAATTTGTTTTTTCCTTCTGCTCCCCAAATTATACCAACATCAAATACAGTGGAAATAGTGGTTATTTCGTAGGGGAGGGACATACCAAGCAACAAATAAATCATGTGTTACCTTATAAATAGGTTAGAAACAATAACAAGAAAGAAAAACACACTTGTGTCCTTATCTTGGAGTTCACTTCACTTAACATCATCTTATCTGGTCATATATACATAGCTTTTGACCTTTTTTGCTTGTCTCAGACATATACGAGTTATTGCAAATAAGGGAAACCATGGGACCTATATTTCTTTGGGCTTGACTTACTTCACTTAGTATCATTTTTTTCCCCAAGTCTTTCCATTTCCTAACAAATGGGGCAATGTTATTCTTTCTGATGGAGTTACAGATTTCCATTTTGTATATATACCAAATTTTCTTGATCCATTCATCTACTGAGGGGCATCTGGGTTGGTTCTATATCTTAGCTATGGTAAATAATGCTGCAATAAACATAGTTGTGCTGGTAGCTTAAATCTTATTCATCTTAGATTGTCAGTGCTCTGGTTCCATTGCAAATCAATCTAAACATGTTTAATATCCCTCCACTTCCATTTTATAAAAATGTGCCCAACATCTTACTGTCCTTGATTATAATGAAGTTCTATGTTACTAATATATTATTCAAAGTTTATTTGGAATTTCGTGCAACAATATGAAAGGATGTCCATTATTTTACCCAGGTTCCCTCATGATAGAACAATATAACATCCAGGATGTTGTTATTGACATAATACCCATAAGTGTGACCTATTGATAACATTAAGAAATCATAACATATGATGAAATACAACTTGAATCCATCTATCAATGAACTTGCTGAAGTTTCTCTGTTAAAAATCATTGAAGTAGTATTTGATTACATTACTGGGTCAGCTTGAGCAATGAATCCTCAATTTCCATCCTTAATGTTTTCCATCTTTCCAAAAACTTTAATTCTACAGCTGTTTTATTGAGAGGAATGTTAACTGCACAGATAGTATATTTACTGAAATATCATGCCTTCCTTTTGGGTTATCCTGTGTTATTATTGTGTCACTCAGAGCCAGTCACATGACAATGTTCAAAATAATAAGGTAAGAATATTGTCAACCTCTTGCCAAAGTGCAATTCTAGAAGCCAAGAGAAATGGGAGTCAGAAGAGAGCATGTCCTAATATGATGAGCACATTTACCTCTTTGAACACATTTGTTCTTGGTAAAGCTAGATAATTTTATGTCACATATGATGCAGTTCATGATTTTTTTTTCTGATTTGACTGTAGTTTTCTATTATGACAGGTATTTTGAGTGCTGTCACCAGATTGTTTTGGCTGAGAGTAATGATAATAACTTGTGTTTTCTCTTTGTATATTTCTAATCAGGATTAAAGCTTATCTACTGATGGTGAAGATAAAACCACACGTTTGAGATTTACTCGTTTGTTAAATGGTAATTGTTTCCCTGGACATTTTCAATCCCATATGAGTGAATGCTATGATAGTACTTTTACAATATTACAAGTAATTGTTTAGGAATATATATATATATATATATATACATTCTTTAATTTTCATAGTATATAATAAGCTATTTTACTAGAAGTGTTTAAATGTTAGACATATGTTTACTTCCTTTGAATTAAAGTTACTTTACTATGGCATATTGAAAACTGAAAAGTGATGTCTTTATAGGATGCAAGATGATATTTGATACCTGTATGAATTCTATAAATCCAATTATATTTATGTTCTCAAACATGTTTTACATTGTTTGTGACACCCTCCTTCCTTGGTGATATGATATTTGAATTCAGGGTTTTGCATCTGCCAGGCAGGCACTCTCTTAATTGAGACACACATCCAGCTTTTTTGTGCGTTAGTCCTTCCTTCACATATTGTCTCCTCTTTTTCCTGATGCTGATTTGTGATTTGTAAACCTTAGTGTTGATTTTTTTTTGTCAGCCTTGGGCTTGAATTCTGGGCCTGGGTGCTGTCCCTTAGCTCTTCAGCTCAAGACAAGCCCTCTACCACTTGAGCCGCAATACCACTTCTGGTTTTCTGGTGGTTCATTGGAGAAAACAGTTTCACAGACTTTCTTGCCCAGGCTGGTTTTGACTGTGATCCTCAGATCTCAGCCGCCTGAGCAGCTAGGATTACAGACATGAGACACGGGTGCCTAGTAGTGTTTTTAGTTTTAAGTTGTTTCCTGTCTGGTTTGATTTTTGTGCACTGTGGTTGGAGTATCTCCTATAGATTTTTCACTAGAGAGTTTCCTTTGGCTATTTTCCTCCTCTTCTTCCTCCTCACCTCCTCTGGGTTCTTACTATTCTTTCCAGTGCAGCTTGGTTACACTGAAGAGTTCTACACCCTCCTCTACTTCATTTCTCATTCTGCATCTTTCTTTACAGCTTCTTAGCATTGGCCACAAAGGTATCTAGAAGTTGAACTACACGTCAACCTGAATGCTACAGGTGGTGTAATTTCCAAGTCCCCAAGGATTCTGTAGCCCATACAAACTTTTCAAAATGGCTAATGCTAATTTAAACAGACTGCCATTGTAATTCATTGCCTCTGCTTTGAAAATTTTTTTCCCTAGCCCCTAAACTGATCATAATTACAACTATAATAGCTGTAACTAATTACATTAGTTATACGAGTTATATACATAACTAGTTATTATTAGTTATGGCTAATGTTCAGCATTACCTTAAAGCTGTAATATGTGTCAACTTCTAGGACATAAGAACAAATGCTGAGGCCTCTGTGGGCTCTTGCTAATCCAATCTTTCATGGAGTGATGACACACACTTAGGTAAAAAAGAAATGGTACAGAAATCCAGCAATTGGGGGCTGGGAAGGTGGCTCAGCGGTAGAGTGCTTGCCTTGCATGCATGAAGCCCTGGGTTCGATTCCTCAACACGACATAAGCAAAAAGAAAAAAGCCGGAAGTGGCGCTGTGGCTCAACTGGTAGAGAGCTAGCCTTGAGCTGAAGAGCTAAGGGACAGCGCCCAGGCCCAGAGTTCAGGCCCCACGACCATACCTCCCCTCCCCCCCAAAAAAAGAAATCCAGCAATTGTTACTGAGAATAGACATGCAAAACTGAATCATGTTTCTTTCTCTTCTTCTTTTTTTTAATGTGAAAATACCGTACAGATGGGTTACAATTACATTAGCAAGGTAATAAGTACATTTCTTATCAAGCATTGTTGCCTCCTCCTTTGTTTCCCCTACCATCCTGTCCCATCTCCCTCCCTCCAGGCTCCCCCTTCCCCGCAAAGTTGTAAAGTTCGTTCTTCGACATAACATCTTGTAGATCTCATTATTGCAATGGGTGCACCTGTATCCCTATTTAAACAACATGTTTCATCCCTTCCCCTCCACAAATTATACCAACACCAAATACAGTGAAAACAGGTTATGCCGTGGGGGAGAGACATATAAAGCAACAAAAAATCATCTTAAAAATATGTTAGAAATAAGAACAAGAAAGTAAAACCATTTGAGTCCTTATCTTGGGGTTCATTTCACCTAACATCAACTTATCTGACCGTTTCTCCTTGTCTCAGACATATACTAATAATTGCAAATAAGGGAAACCATGGGAACTATGTTTCTTTGGGTCTGGCTTACTTCACTTAATATAATTTTTTCCAAGTCTTTCCATTGCTTCTTCTTCTTCTTCTTCTTCTTCTTCTTCTTCTTCTTCTTCTTCTTCTTCTTCTTCTTCTTCTTCTTCTTCTTCTTCTTCTTCTTCTTCTTCTTCTTCTTCTTCTTCTTTCTTCTTCTTCTTCTTCTTCTTCTTCTTCTTCTTCTTCTTCTTCTTCTTCTTCTTCTTCTTCTTCTTCCTCTTCTTCCTCTTCTTCCTCTTCTTCCTCCTCTTCCTCCTCTTCCTCCTCTTCCTCCTCTTCCTCCTCCTCCTCCTCCTCCTCCTCCTCCTCCTCCTCCTCCTCCTCCTCCTCCTCCTCCTTCTTCCTCTTCTCTTCTCCTCTTCCGCTTCTTCCTCTTCTTCCTCTTCTTGTTAGTGTGGGAGGCGGGGAATTTGGGCTTGCATTCAGGGTTTGGGTGTTTTCCCTTAACTTTTATTCTCAAGGCTAATGCTCTATCACTTGAGCTAGTGCTCTGCTTCGGGATTTTGGTGGTTTATTGGAGAAAAGACTCTCAAGGCCTTAGCTTGGAGCTAAGATTCTAGGCTCTCATCCTCCTGAGTATCTGATTCCAGGCAAGAGCTACTACCACCTGACTGAAATAAACTTTTCTTGTTATAATGGAACCATATTTTGTGAGCAGAAAATATGTTACCATCATATAAATGAATATCTTGACCCAAAGTACATGCTGTTTTGGGGGGTAGTGGAATGGAATTCTGGTATATAAAAATATAGACTAATGATTGTTTCTAACACATTTATAAGATTATTTCTTTGTTGCTTTGTATGTCCCTCTCCCACGGTATAACCCCTGCTTTCACTGTATTTGATGTTGGTATAATTTGTGGAAGGGAAGGGAAAAACAAAGCGTTTAAATAGGGATACAGCTGGACCCATTGCAACAATGAGATGTACAAGTCATTATTATTTCAAAAACGAACTTTACAACTTTGGTAGGGAGGGGAGGAGGGTTGGATGGGGGGAGGTGGGGAGGAGGATGGGATGGGAAGGGGAAACAAAGGAGGAGGCTACAATGCTTGATAAGAAAAGTACTCATTATCTTGCTCATGTAATTCTAACCCT